TTTCTCCTCCCTTCCTCACAGGACTTCCCTTTGACAGGGAAGTTTCAAGGTGAGTTTCAGGAGTGGAACTGAGGAGGAGAGTCTTTACCCCTTGTTTTCTTTTTAGAGGCAGTGCTGGTGAGATGAGGGTAGGAGCATCTTTCACGGACGATCCGTCCATTTTAGACAGTGTGTCATAGTATTCTGTATACAGTGATAACATGACGATGCATTTTAAATTATTTAATCCTTAGGTTACAGGTATTTTCTAGACTGCCAGATGCATACTTTTTAAAGTGTGTGTGTATATATAAAGTCTGTAGTCTCTAAAAGGTAAACAAATTCCGTTTGTATGATTTTGTGTTTCGTATGTTGTGCAGCAGTCACTGTTGCTCAGGTGTTGATTGCTCTTCACTCTGGTTCCCAGATTACATCCACTTTTCCCTGCCCTCCACTGCTTTTCTGTCAGCCTTCCTTCCCTAAAAGCAGATGGATAAGACTTGGAGCCCACAGGCTGTCTGGGGAAATTCCCCTTTCTTCTCGTTACTTGAAGGTCAAGAAAAATATTAACGTATCGGGGTTGTCAGGCGTTCCCCTTCTGTTCATTTATTCAGTGTATCTCACCATCACTTGGTGCTGAATCCAATGCCATGGTCTTCATGTGGAACTGAGCAGCAGCATGGTTTGGAATGATAGAGACTATAATTGCGAAGGTGAGACGTAAGCAGGAGGAAGCCACTGTCTGAGCTGCTTAAGAACAGTTGCCACTTACATATCTGTATATGGAATTTTTCACATGAATGCTTTTACTTCTTCCTGGCAACCTAATGAATTAATATTTTATGGCCATTTCTTGCTGCTATTGAGCTCAATTTGTGTATCAAATGGAGACTGAAGCTGCCTTTTTGCTTTTTCTGTAGACTTTTCTCCACTTCACTTGAATCACGTCTGTCGTTTCTTCCCTTCAGTTTTACCCTGTTCTGAGCTAGCCACAAGCCTGTTCCTGGGAGGCAGAAGCTCCCCTCCTACGGACAACCACCACCATGGGCAGCAGCTGCCCTGGCAGTGGCAGTCTCAGCAAAGGCCAAAGATGTAATGGGTCAGAGGGACACTTGCAATGAGGAGTGTTACAAGAGCAGGGTTGAGTGGAAGGGGTGATAAAGGCAGGGAAGAAGGAGCAGAGCAACTATGCAGGAAATTTACAGTAAAGTTGTATGAAGCTTGTGGACAAATGGATTGTTGCAAAGTCTTTTGAATCAGCACCTTTCAGTGTTACATTGGGTGCATATGTTTATATACAGCCAGGAGGGCTGAATCACAGGTTGGCTCCTTTCTCATCGGAGCTGTAGCACAGAGCAGGAAAGACGAATGTGAAAAGGGCAGCTCTTGGCCACCTTCCTGGCAGAGCAGCTCAGAGACAAATTGATTGTAAGGGGCTCAGAGTGTGCATTGCCTGCTTGCTGTCTGGGCTCCTGGAATGCCTTGGTGTGTTCAGCTGTAGCTTAGCTTCCACAAGCTTCTCACGAGATTGTCATCTGGTTCCCTGTACGTGCGGGGCAAGGACCAACTCACTCAGCAGTGGCTTTTCACTGCTGCTGAGCTTTACCACTAATCTTTCAGCTCGGATGAATTTATTTTAAAGTGTTCAGAAGCAATTACTGAACCAAGAGGCTGCTTGCTGCCTCTCGACCCGCACTCTGTGTGTGGGTACTTGCAGTGTGCAGTAAAGAGATGATGCCCCGTTGCTTCTAGGTCTGGAGGCTGTGGACTTGTAAGGGAGAAAGTCTCAAGTGCATGTGACAGAGTGTGTGAAATTCTGAAATAAAATGACTTTCCACAGTAACCTGATTGTCTCCGAAGTGTTTATAAACAAAGGAGTGTCTCTGCTTCTGTGCCAGGGAGGGGCGTCACCTTTCTGCTGTCAGCTTTCTGCACCACGCCGTTCTCAGTGGACTGTCGTGCCCCTTGCTGATTCACTGCTTTCCCTTTACAGCTTGGGGCGCTCTGTGGCTGCCTTCAAAACAAGTGGGTTGGCGCTGCAGCGCGTTCACTCCTGTCAGTGCTTGCACCAGTCACAAGATAATGATGGCTCTCTGCCTTTCCTCCTTTCTCTGACAGCTCACACGCCTGGGCAGGCACCCACGCTTCATGTGATTCTCCAGACTTCACAGGCTTCCTTGCATCTTTTAATATTGACTTTCCTGCACAGCCTTTCCCTGCCCTTGGCTCAGTGACACCTTTGTTTCTACATGCCCAAGTGTGCTCCTCTCTTATCCAAGCATCAGCCTTGGGGCAGTGAGGAATCTGCTATAGCTCTGGTACGCAGCGAGCCCCAGTTTTGTGTGTCTGCTTTGGGAGGTGGGGGAAGTGTTTGACATAAAGAGAAACATGAAGTGATGCCACTTCTGATGAATCCCTGCTCCTTAATTCTCAAAAGACACGCTAGGGTAAAGACATCCTGTGAGAATTGTTTTAATGAGGGCTGAGCAATTACCATTTAACTAGCATGGAGGATATGTTGTATTAGAAGGAGTCTCCATCTCTAGCATTATTCTTCCTGATACCCCTTATCTATTTATTTTTTTTTTCTCCTTTAATCTGTTCCATGATAGAAACAGATCGGGTGAGATCAAGCATATTTCACATCATATGGTCTTTTATGGGAACAGCTAATAGAAGCTGCTCTTTGGAAGCTGTGCCAGCTATGACACCCCTCACATTAATGCCCTTGGAAAGCTTAGGGCTTGCAATCCATATTTAATGTATGTAGTGGTTTGCACTTTTGCATAAAAGTTGTCCCAGCATGCACAGTGAGATCAAAAGATAGGGTTTGTTTAATGGAGAGCAGAAATAATTGTGTGGAGTCATGGTAATTATTTCATGTATGCAAAAGGTTGCTGCAAAGAACAGCACAAATGGCTTTCTGCAAATGCTCTGGTTCTCTTTTGTTCTTAGCCTAATGAACCTTATGAGCCTTATGAGAGCATACCTTGTTAAATAAGCACAGTCCTGGCCTGGAAGTGAATGTAGCCAAGCTTACATTTAAAAATTCAAAAGATACAAAACCTTAAAATAGTTGTTGTGCAACAAATATGTTCTCTACACAATTGATAGCATGGTGTAGCAGTTTTATTAGCATACTCTGAGAAGGACAGTCACAAGTCACTGATCCAGAAATGGGGTGGTGAGCAGGCTAATAATATCTTTATAGTATGTGATCCTGTGCAATAACCTTGCAAATGGTGAGACTGAAGAGACTGGTCAGACCAAAGGGTAAAGCAGAGATCTTCAAGTCATGCCATTTATAGAAAGTATTCTTGTCATTTTATGGATAGCAGGAGAGAGGAGTCTGGCATATGGAACTCAAACTTTTCTCCATCTTAAGCTTTCCAATGTACTCATTCAGTAATAAGTTGTGAACACAATCACTTCAAGCACACTAAAAGTCAAATGACTTTTTATTTTGCTGGTTCAGTTTCCCTGGCTCCAGTAGCTAAGTAGAAATTTGATCTGTCTTTTCAAACTCAGTGCTAAACTTCTCAGGGGGAATATATATATATGTATGTATGTATGTATATAAATTCTATCCACATTCCTCATGAAAAGGCTTCTTCATCTAAATAACGAGCAAAAGTTGCTTCCATGAGTTTTCTGGGTTTTGTTTTTTTTTTTTTTAAGATTTTTAGCCCACCCCTACCCGTGTCTCTCATGGTAGAATCATTGCCATTCCACAGAAGCAATGGCAGCAGTGACATACTATCCTGTTAGACATCCCACTGCAATGATCCCAGTCCTCTAAGGCTTTCTTGTCTCATTCTGCTCAGCAGTGCGAAGGACATGAGCATTGTAGACACAAGGGCACAGATGGCAAATGATGGAGCTCTGAGGAAAAGAGCAAATTGGCTCTTTACCTGGTCCCGTGCCAGACATTTTGTCAAAATTCACAATGCACTGTAGGCAGGCTCCTTACCACCTTTGAAAGGCAAGAAGCAATCATTCCTGGAAGGAATATGGCAAAGAGACATTTTTGTCTTCTAATTCTTGAATTTATTTAGCGTGGTGGTTAGTTATGGCCTTGGACATAACTACCAGCAGCTACCTAGATAATATCAGCTGAATTATGTTCAGGCTCCTGGCTGTTTATAGCAGTGGTGATATGCTGTCAGAAGGCCTGAGATATGCACAAGCAAAGATAAGAGAAGATGCAGTAATCTCACAGAACTGGACTCCCACGTTGCTTGTCAGAGAGTGTTGGCTGGGCTCCCAGCTTCCTGACATTCAAGTGGAGGTTGGGTTTTGCTGAGGCAAGCGCGTGACCAAGGCACAAATCTTCCCTTAATTCCCAAATCACCACAGAGGGACAGCAGGAAGCACCTAGAACAGTGCCTTTTACTGAACGACAAACTAGTGATGTGTACTAAGAACCCTCTTAAAAAAAAGAAAAAACAAAAAACTAATTGCTTTCTTGCATAAAAGAGAAAGTAGGAAGAATGATCCATGTTCATCACTATGCACTGCAAAGGAAGATGTATGGTGTCGTGGGCACAATGTCGTCCCAAACTGTGTGGCTTCAGACAAACTCAGCCCTTTTATGGTCAGATGGAGTCTGCACTGCCTCAGGGAGACTCGCTTTTCTGGTGAGTATTGAGCTTGCAGATCAGTGTCACTGAGAATTCCCGACCAAGACATTCAGATGTTACTTTCCTGAACAGTGCCTACATTGCCTCAGACCCAGAGGAGATGTCCACCTTTGTCACAATCCTCTGAATGCTGAAAGAGCAGAGGTTGTTTGCCGCTGCTGATTCCTCAGACAGAACTCTCACAAAAGTCAAGCTCAGAAACATTTTCCTGCTGGCAGCATTGCAAAGCTCCCTCACCAAGCACCACAGTGGCACGAGTAAGAGGGGCAGTAGGCTGAGGAACCACAACACCTACTCAAGACAATGCTTTGGCCACAAAGGTTTTAGGGGGACTATTCTCCAGCTTGTCCATAGTCAATTGCCCCTTAACACACCTGAGGAATCTGTGCCAAGGCTGCCCTTGCCAGCCACCAGCTCAGGTGGAAGTGGAGGGAGCAGGGCAGACTTCTGGAAGAATCTTTTCTTTGCCAAATATCCCAGCGCAGAGACCTTAGGAAGGAAAATGAGTCACAAAGGCAAAGGTTATCAACTTGGTATTCCGAACACATCAACATTTGCCAAGAATTTCCCCTTCCTCCCCCATAAACAAACACATATATTGAAACAGATTAAAGTCTGCTGGTAAATTCCAGCTGCCAACAGCTTTTGCTTACAGAGCAGAGAAGGGTTACAAAACAATGGCTGCAGTGTTCCCTCTGAATCCAGGGAGCTACAGCCTCAACTCTGATTTATCCCCAGGTGAGTTGAAGAGCTCCACCTGAGCTGCCTGGTATGCTTGTGTTCCTGCTGAATCTGCCTGCCAGCAGCAGAAACCAAGTGATCTCAATGCATATAAGATATCCTCAGGATCCTGCTTGATTTCATTAACAGAGTACACGTTTGCAGTTTTTCTTCTTTGCTTTTCAGTACGCTCTGAAGTGACATGAAGAATCGTAGAATCACAGAACATCCCAAGTTGGAAGAGACTCACAAGGATCAGTGAGCTCAACTCCTGGAAAGTTAAAAAAAAAAACAGAAAAAGGAATTTGCATTGCCACTCTCCTTCTCATCCTGTTTCACAGGAAGGCACAAGGCACCTGGCACATGTGTGTCTCCAGCTGATGTTGCTACTGATGCACCTTCACTTCGGTGGGCATTGAGTGCACACACATCTGCACTGCGTCTGCATAATTGAGTCCTGGTGAATAACAGCAGTTTCCGATGAGATACAGTTCTGTTCTTTCGTTTGTGTGCTAAACTGTTCCCATGTGTGCTAATACACACAAGGGATTATACTCGACCCTCAAGTCCTTTCATCATAATAAAATACGGCTGGAAGATGAGAAAACCCCCAAATCCCCGGATGCTCCAAACAAAAGCCAGCTCCCTCCCCCTTCACACATATTTTTTGCTAAACATCATTTTCAACCCGTTGTAGCTTTGCTCAGGAAATTCATGCTTGGGCAAGTTACAAGTTAAATCTCACCTCCCTCTGACTGGATTTGCACAATGTTTTTCCTCATGGCAGCTGGCCACAGCCTGTCCAGCTCTGAGTAACTGAGCCTCGGGAGAGATGTATTTTGTGAGCTATCAGCATGTGCTTGGCATGCCTGCTTTTGCTCAGCAAGAAAAATGTAGGTGGACAACCAGGAGTGTTTCCATATCCGTCTGAAATTATTGAACTGCAAGTTGCAAATGTAAATTGCAGATTTAATCCTTTTTTTTTTATTAATCTCCTTTCAAATGTCAGTGATATTTACATATCAGGATGGAAACATAAGAAACTGAGGGGGTGGGTAAGCAATGAATGATTTATTAGAGATTCTATTTGGTGCACCAGTCCAAAACAAACGAGGCACAGCATATGGCTAACTTATTTCTTGTTTGTACATAATAAAAAATGGACACTAATACCTCCCAGCTCGATCTTTAATCACACATATTCATCTCTCCACCCGGTTTTAAAATGGAAGGTCTATAAAGCAATCCTTAAAGAGCTTACAACAGGGATCTGGCAGAACCAATTCTCCGGTTATCCGTTTGTGCCGCATGAGGGGAGAAGCAACCAAGCACTGCAAATTACCCTGAGCTGCAGAGACTGTAGGTAATTCTCCCTCAAAATTGCTCAGACTTTATAAGCACTTTGCCTCAATCCATCTTCGTGTTTCCCTCAACAATCTCTGCCGGAAAATTTCCTCCTGGTGTCTGGAAATTCTTTGCTCACTGAAGTGCAGAGTTAGGCTGAATGCCTGGGGTTTGTTTCCTGTTGCCCTGCCTATGAATGGCAGCTTCAAAGGACAGAAATTATCACAAGGACCCCCCCCTGGGGTGTGAGACCCTGCAGGAGCCCAAAGCACTCTGACAGAGCCACCATGGGGCCTGCAAACCCTCCTGGCTGCCCAAGCATTCCAGGAAGGGGCCAGCATCTCAATCTGCATTACTGTTGGTGGTTATCTTCCTGGCCCTGGTAATGCATATCCCTCACATCCCCCTCCTCACTCCCCGCTATGCAACACCACAAGTGCCTCCCCCCCTTGACAGTCCCTGAGCGTCATATACAGGCCAGCCAGACTGTGCAAAGAGATGTTACTATGGAAACATTTACGTCTTCCCTTTGTGTATTTAATAACACAGCATACAGCATGTTTATCTCCCGTATATTGATTGATAAAAGAAAAACTCTTTTCCTTCGCAACGTTGAGATGAAAGACAGACAGACAGACAGAAAGAAGGACAGACAGACGGAAAAAAAAAAAGCAAGTTCATATATTGACTTTCCATCTTAATGAAGAAGAAGGGTGAATGGAGGAGAATCAGTTTACCTCCTGGTGCTTTCTGCAGTGCTGTATACATCTGAGAATTTCGTCACTCCCCAGCAAGGTCATTTTGGCCTCTATCCTGCTGTGAGCTCTGCATGAGCATCTCCTCTTGCCTGCAGCTGGCCCCTAGCTTCTGGATAGGAATGGATCCGACTTATCGCAGGAGCTCTCTGCTGAGATACCATGCCTAAGGCAGAAAAATAACATCAGCAGAGCTAAAGCTGTTAACATGTCATCAGGAGTTTATTGACCGTGCACACACACTAATCTTCACTCAGAAGCCATCTTTTTGTGCTGCAAATTCAATTTTCTTCAGAGCTATCAGGCTTCTCTCCACACATCTAAGCCACAAATATATTCTGTGGTATTGAAAAAGGAACGTTTGAGTTAGTGGCTAGCTAGTAGTTCTCTGCTTAGAAAACATTTGCTGTTTTATTTGCACAAAAAATCCTAAGGAATTGTTATTTAGGCTTGAAGAATTATCTTCTAGCTCAGTCACAAGACTCAAACCTCAAAGGAGAAACCTCTGATGTAATATCTGCAAAAGCAGAGACGTGTTTCGTAATGGAATTAGAGATGTGTCTCATTACATTATGTAACAACGATAATTCTGCAGTCTCTTTCAGGAAAAGGGAAGAAATAACACTAATTATTACTAAATGGCTGGCTTTTTGTTACCTGATTTCACTTCCTGAATTGAGGATGATGAAAAAAAAAACAACCACAACAAAACCTGTCTGGTGCTCAAATCGCAGACAGATTTCCACATTTGCAAAATAAAAAGGGAAGCAGGCAGCTAGAAAACAGGCAGATCTGGGTTAAGTTCCTTATTACATACATCATTTTTGCTTGCACGATTCTTGCTCACACATACCCAGAGTCTTTTCTGCAGAAATCTATAATTACCATTTCAAGAGGAAAGATTGGGTGGGTACAGCATTTCTGTTTATTTTACAACAATTACAGTGGTACAATCACCTTTTTCTTTGCACTTGGGTGTGAGGGATGTGAGAGCCCTCCTTCAGCCAGCCAAACACAGAGATGCTGCTTTTCATCCACCCAAGCCAATCACCCACCGAGCTTCTTTGTAAGCTGCTGCATCCATCCTCTGAATTTTGCTTTGTAGCAAGATCTGCCTGCTCATTGGTGCATGTATCAGAGCAGTCATCTGAGATCACTCAGTTGCTAGCATGCTTTCTGGCACTGGAGGGCATTTTTTTCTGCTGCCTCTTCCATCTTAGTGAGCCATTCAAAATCGATGCTTTATTCAAGAAAAGCAAAAACAAAATAAACACACACACAAACAAAAAACACCACAGTGAAGAGGAAAAATTGCATTTTTTCTCTCAGCAGCCAGTGTTCAGTTTACAGAGCTGGACTGACATACCCTGATTTGTATCGGTGATGGTGACATCCTGCTGCTAAAAGTAGAAACCTGGCCATGACTGCCCTCCCTGGCCATGGCCGTCCTCCGGAATTATCAGTCGAGTTGTTTAATGAATTCCAGGCAGTTATACCTGTGTAAACTGAGCCAAGGCCATGGCTGTACACAAATACTACCAAACCCTAACTGGAAAACAAAGGAGTCTTTTGCAGTGGAGCCAAGAGGAGTTTGCCCGACAGGGTGATAATGTTTTGAGCAAGCAGGGATCCATGGAGGGGGGTTGGAGCTTGATGATCTTTAAGGTCCCTTCCAACCTAAGCCATTCTATGATTAACCTTCAGAGCTGATGGTGTGCTGTAGGGCTGGCAATGTGGGAAAGCAATCAAAGGCTGGGTAGTGAGAGAGTACATGGGTAGCAACCTTTCTAGCTCACTCTGAGCTGTATATGGTGCTTTAGTGTCCTCAGAGAATCACGAGGGGACTGAAACCATCTGTTCCCCATGGGTTTCATACAGGGTTAGCAAAACCAGTTGAGGGCCTGAGGAGCTTCTATAAACATACAGGCTGGGCTAGAGGTGAGGTTGCAGGGCTGCCTTTTCACTTGTTTGATTTAGCTCAGATAAAACATAATGCAAACTGCTTGAAAATCTTCCCAAGGTGAGGCTGCTCGCTAAGGCTGTGAGACTGTGTAGATGACCCACTAATGCTCTCCTCCATCTGAGTAATGGCTGCCCTTGGGTCTCCTCACAAACCACCAAAGGCTAATGTTATACCATAGTTACAAGGCTGGCAGAGTGTCAGGGACACAAAAACTCAGCCAGTGCCCCACTCAGTCCTATCTCTGAGGAGCAGGTAGCAGGCAGGGAGGCTCCCACTTATCTGAGGGAACAGTGACTCTCCTCAGCAAACTTCTGCCCTCAATTCTGCTGGGCTTCGTCCAGCGGGGCTGTTAGGAGTGCAGAAAGAACAGTGCTTGGAGGGGGGACAGGACTTCGTGTGGAGAACGTATGAAGCTGCTAGGAACAAAGCAGACGCGGTGCTTGAGGGAGGTCAGGCCACAGAAACACGAGGCACCAAACACAACCCTTCCACTCCAGCCGCCATTTTACCACTCCTTGTCCTCCGTGCATCTCGCCTCACCATCTGGCCTCTTTCGGGCCTCAGCCAATGGCGGCTCAGAGTGCACATGAATACCACGCCGCCAGCCAATCAGCGCCGGAGCGCCCTGGCTTTGTTGGCGGGCAGGAGCAGGAGCCCCCCCAAATCCTCCAGCGCTCGCCGGCGGGCGGGAGGAGCGTCCTCAGCTGCTTCATCACGTGACCGCGCTTCTCGGCTGGGAGGTGTCCGCGCGGAGGAACACATATAGTCCCTCTGTCCATCAGCTCACGCTGGGGGGAGGGGGGGGAGAAGGGAAGTTATTGTTGTCAGCTTTTATGGTTAATCCGAGCCAGGTTGGAACGAGAGAAGCCCAGGCCAGAAGTTACAGACCGAAGGGCGCTTACGAGAGGCAGGTGACGAAGAGCGGAAGGACACATCAGGCCGGATCTCGTTCTGCTTAGCGCGGTCACATATAAGGGCGGAGCGCGCGCTGTGCCACCTCATTGTGTGCCTTGAGCTGAGCTGACAGGTTGTGGTAGTGGCCGTGCGCAGCACATCTTCGCGCGGCGCTGACCGGAACACTTCCCCCACCCCAGCCGCCATGGCTCTCTAAGGGCGGCAGGGCCAGCGGCGGCATCGGCCAGTGCAGCGGGCGCAGCAGCAGCGGCGGCGGCCTCGGCACATCCCCGGCATCTGCAACCATGGCGTGAGTAGCGCGTGTGGGGAGCGCACGCTGTGTGACACCTTTCCCTTCGCCCGGTTCCTAAAGTGGGGTTCTGCAGTGAGAAACGAACCCCCAGAGGAGAAGCTGTCTGGGTAATAGGGTGGGGGTGGGGGCTAAAAGCCTACTTGGGAGTGACAGAAACGGCAGGAAGTGACACTTAGGAAAAGCGAGCCGTAATACCCTATATTTTAGAAAAAACCACATCCTGAAAGCTTGGAGCTTTTCTAATTTGTAAGGTTTTTGTGAGTATTAGCTCCCTATGCGGGTGTCCTAGTCGTGCAGGGGAATGTCTTCATAGAGGGGCATTGGGAATAGCAGATGGCGGGGCTTCCAGCGAGCGGGCATTGAGGTATGAGTGGATCCCTAATGCCGCAGCGCTGGAGGGGATGGTGTGAAACCAGCCTGATAGAAGGATGTGAGCCTCTCTCGGCGTTTCTCAACCGAATCCCCCTGCTCCATAAGTCAGCATAGAAAGGTGCCCTGTCCTTCCGTCCTGTCACCCTCCCCCTCCTCCCCGACTTTGATGGCGGTCCCAGCTGCACGAGGTGGAAACGTGGCACGGCACAAAATGGCGGCGGGGCCGGGTGGGGAGCGGGAGGCGGCGGATCGCGAAATGGCTGCGGCGTGGGCGTGAGTCAGGGCGCGGTGGGCGGGGCGTGGGCAGCGCGGAGCTGGTTCTGCTCTGCTGGGGATGGGAATAGAAGAGCCTTTAATAAATAAATAAATAAATAAAAAGTTAAAGGCAAACAGCCTGGAGAATGTCTGATGTACCACCGTGCTCCCTGCATGTGGTGTCTTACTGTGAAGGCTGTTATTCCAGTAGAACAACCACTGATGTGTGTGGAAAAAATGTCTGTCTTACAGGTTTTTCAAGGCACCGCACAGCAGCACTGCTGTAGTCGACAGAAAGACCTTCTCCTTGTCTACATCCTTTGACGTCAAAGCACTAAAACCTGACCAAGATGAGCCTCTTGAACAACGAGATGCTGTTGGGGGAGTCCTCCCCCTTCAGCCAGCCGTGTTCGGTGGCTGAGGAAAGTCTGGGACTCCTCGATGACTACCTGGAGGTGGCCGTGCCCCTCGGTTCGCATGGGTTCTCCAGCGACAAGGCTAAGGCAGTCTCCTCCAATTGGCTCGCTGTGGACAGTTTAGGCAACACCATAGATAGCAGCCAGGGTAAGGCACTAATTCGTGTGGAGAAAATACATCTGTGGTGATGGCACATAATAAACAATGTAACCCTCCTGTTCAAAAATATACTGCGCAAGTTCTCTAAATGTAGAGGTGACATCAGGTGTGTACTCAGGCCTGGAAAGCATCCATACAACACTGATTACACAATAGCAAATGGCTAGTTACTAGACTGGCCTGTGGGAAAATGACACTTGTGTTGCCCTTTTAATAACATGCCAGCTGTTAAAGTAGCCTTCCCTGGAAGAGGTCACAAGAAACAAGTGTGGTCGTGTGTTTCAAATAGCCCTGAGTCCGTACAGAGTTGAGAGTAAGAGGGATGGAATGTCATAACAGCTGACAGCTACATTGTATCATGCAGTACTCCCCCCTCATGGTGGGCTGAAGTTCTGGTAGTTAATCTTTTGTACCATTAAAAAGAGTGGGGGAAGGTGTAACAAGTTAGGGTTTGTTTGTTTTTTTTTAGGTACCTTCTAGAAGATTACTTTATTGGCTCACTGAAAAAATATGCATTTCTTTTCTCCCTTGTTTAGAGGATGCCTTCTCTGGCATGGAGTGGATGGTGGAGAAGATGGATCTGAAGGAATTTGATTTTGATGCCCTGTTAGGAATGGAACATCTGGAAGCCACCGTCTCACCAGACGAGCTGATGGCCACGTTGGAAGACACGTGTGATCTTCTATTTAACCCTACCACCCAGGAATTTCACAACAAAGAACCTCCACTCATACCTGATCTAATCACCAGTCTCCCTGAATCTCCAATTGGAGCAGATCCCATGGCCCCTTTAGCTTCCCTCTGGTCTTTTCCCCTCTCCCCAGAGTCTCTGACTTCTGTTCCAGACCATTCATTTAGTTTAGAACTAGGTAGTGAAGTGGATGTTCTGGAAGGTGAAAGGAAACAGGAGGGCCCCACCTTTCTGGTAGTGATCACCAAGTCAGAGAAAGAGGAGGAGAACCATTCTGATGATAGTGGAATATGCATGAGCCCAGACTCTTATTTGGGAACACCCCAGCATAGTCCTACCAATTCACTTGGATCCCCCAATGACAACCAGTTCCCTGCAGATGCCACCTGTGGCTCTGTGCGGTCCAAACCATATGACCACCCTGCTGAGAAGGTAGTGTCATCAAAGGTGAAAGGAGAAAAGAAAATAGATAAGAAACTAAAAAAGATGGAGCAAAATAAGACAGCTGCCACACGTTACCGGCAAAAAAAGAGGGCAGAACAGGAGGCACTGTCAGGGGAGTGCAGAGATTTGGAACAGAAAAATCAGGCCCTGAAAGAGAAAGCAGATTCCTTGAGTAAGGAAATCCAGTACTTGAAAGATCTGATTGAAGAGGTGAGGAAGGCCAAAGTCAAAAGAGCTAGAGTCCCTGAGTAGGGTAGTCAGTAGTGTTCACGTGCATGTATATATGCTTGCTGCTTAAGCTGTGTATGGTGTCTTAATAAATTATTTTATAGTAAACTTGAATTTTGTGTGGTAATTGGGTCTGTGTAAAATAAGCATTAATTTGCACCACATCATTTGGGGCTTCAACCAGCTAGAGTGTGCTGCTCCACTGCGGAGTGTGCAAATAGCATTTAGTTAATGTGGTTCAAGTGATAGAGCACACATTACAGCTAATGTACAACTGAATTTATACTTTATATATCTAGTAAGATGGAGGGGATCTAATGGGGATACTCTCAGATCTTTCATATCAAAGGCAAAATCATAAAGGTTATGAGCCTCTAGAGGAGCCATTTAAGAGTGCTTATGAATGGGTTTTGGAAAAGGTTCTTGAGGGAGCTTTATGTGCTTGTCAGGCTTCAACACAATTTCTGGTGGAGGTGAATGGTGCAGGGTACAAGAGTTATGAAATTAGATGAGCTGGAAGATACCTCCAGAACATAAGCATGCAGAGGATCAGGTGCTTGGGAGTAGGGGTTTGCAGGCTGCATTGAGGGTAGTGGTTATGATGGGAGCCTGTGCTATGTGAGATAATCTTTATACTGGAGTGCTGGGAGGGAAGGTGCAACTGGGAAAGTGTGCTGTGATGTTATGTGTTACACTGAAGAAGCAAGGTGAAGGTGGCAGGTAGGAGCCTGCATAGCAGGGTGATTTCAGCCCATTAGATTTATTAGCATTCTTTAATTTATGGCAATATTAAGTATTCTTTTTTGTTTGTTTGTTTCTTTTGTGAGATTCAGAAATTCAGTAAGCTCTGTGGTCAGCACAGCTGTACCTGCTAATACCTTCAGGATTTGGGATGTACCCTTTATCATCACGTGTGTGATGATTATTTTCTTTGGCTCACTGATACCCAGATTTAGTGATTCATCACATTCCTTAATCCCTGCTTGTCCTGCCAGGGACAGCTTTTGCATGTAGATGTGTGCATCCTTCCCGGGGCGTTAATTCCTGCTCACTTGCACTGACTTGTCCAAGCATATTGCCCAGCTCAGGCATTCACATGGATGGTCTTTGTGCTCACAGCTTTTCAGATGCAGCCAACGAACTGATCTTATGCGATGCCTCTTGCAATGATGCTGTTTCCATACTTAGTAACTTAGTTAAGACTTTGCACCGGCTGAAGGTTAGGGCTGGCTGTTCCTCTGTATGTTCATTTAGCATTTATAAGATCATTGCATTAAGAGATGGGAAAAAGCATCTGAGCAGCGGACACCCTCCTGACTGATCTCACATGTGCAGGCTTCAGGAACCTCTTCGTTTTCTCACAGGCTCTCAGAAAAAACGTGATTCAACAATCTCAATTGTCAATGCATGGTGACACCATTCCCAGAAATAGACTTTGGTGCATGAAATACAGGCTTTACCAGACCCCAGAGGAAGCCAGTGGAAACAGTGGAATTTTCCCAATCTGCACTCTCTAAAAGCTCAGTATTCATAGCTACCTTCCTCTTCATCCTGCATTTAGGGAGACCCAGGTGCTCGTAGTTCTCTTTGTGAACAAGAAGAGGAAACCGCTGCCACTGAGGACTCCACCACTTGCCCGTGTGAATAACCGAAGGGGCAAAAATAACCTCCATCTGCAGTGCTGGAGAATGAAAGCAGAATGATAGCAAACGCTTCCAAAGAGCCCTGGCAGAAAGCCCAGAACAGCAGCAAGGACAGGGTGTCCTTCAGGAGAGGAGTTTTCCTCAGCACTGTGCTAGTGGCAGGGAATTGCTGGCCATGTATCGTGGTGACAGAACCATCACAGTCACAAGGGATCAGACCTAGGCAGTACTATTTCAGCCACTCAGCTATCCCAGCTTTGCACTTCTTTCAGTGCACTCACGCAGCATCAGAAGCCACTAAATGAGGCTAGCTCTACCCACAAGCTCCAATTTTTGTATTATACAGACACATGTTCTCAAAGTAACGGTTAGCCACCTCTCATTTTTCCTTCAGTTGCCCTTTTTCTCTCTTTCACACCTGTAGTGGAAATGCTAAGTCAGGGCTTGAAACAACGACTGAGCACCTGGTGGGAAGGCAGGTTTAACCCAGGGGAGCTCAGGTGCAAGCAATGCATTGAATGACTGGAAGGAGTGAGGCAAGGGTTCACCCCTTCCCAGACCTCATGTAAGGGTTGGAAGTGGAGGCAACGGTATTTTGCTGGAGATCCCTGTATACCTGAAACTTTCTAAGGGTAAGCAGATATTTTTTTCCTTTATTTCTGTGTCTGCAGCTTCTGCATTTGGGTTTATTGTTACTTGCTGCAGTCTAGGACTTTGCTACCCTGCTATCGTTGCTGTGCTTTCCATCACATTATAGCATTACAACTCCCAGTGGTAGGCAACAAGACGCAAGTGAGCAACCACTTCAACTTTATTTAAGTAGGGCAGAGGATTTCCAAAGCACAAGCTACCTGCTGTGAGCCTGACTCCTCTACATCACCACTGGAGTGCAAGGACAACTAGAGAAGAACATCTACTCTTTCCCTTCCATTAATGACAAGTTAATGGAGGAGATAAATGAGCTTTCTTGCATACAAATGGTGCTGCTCAGCTTGGCTAGGTTGCTGCTCAGCCCTGCCAACAGCTAATTCCTTCAGAACAAGGTGTATGTAACCCTGCAGGCAGAGCAACCTTCATGATTTCCATTTCCCCTGCCCCCAACAGTTAGTCGCTGGCGCTGTTAATCCTCTTTAATGTAACTATGGATAGTCATGCAAACCTTTAATCCGTCTCAAACCTACTAACCGTTCAGCCTGCTTTGGCTGGAGTTCCAGGTTTTGAGCTGTAAGCAAGCATTAGGCAGCTTGCCTTCCTTTACATTCCTCATTTGATTGTTCTTCTTGTTTCAAAGTGAGAAACTTCCATGTGCTTCACCATTACATTTGTGAGCTTTTTAGGGTACTGCTGCTGTGTTCCCCTTTCTGTGGTGACCAACCCCTTACCCAAGGTGTTCAGAGCCCATTAGTTTTGTAGGTGTGGATCCAACATTGTGTGGATCATCAGCAAGATTGAAAGGGAAGTCAGTCCTAAAAAAGTAGCCAAACTAGCCAAGGACTGAGATTCCAAAAGGTTTCTAGGACCCCTCCCAGCTATGGTTTTCCTCTCTCCATACTGCTGTCATTTCAGCATTTTAAGTCTTGTATGCCAAGCTACTTTGGTTCATTTGCAACCGGGCATGTTTTGCTCTGTTATTTCAAAGGGAAGAAATTGTTGAGTGTCCTGGGCAATCATGTTTTATTATATGCAAGTATATTAGTATTATATGCATTAGTATAATAATAATAATATATATTAGTATATTATATGCAACTATAAACATACTTGCAGCCTTCCTGATACACTTCTATGCTGATACTGGCTGTCATTGTTTTCCATGCTGAGGAAGAACACATTTGCTGATACAGCAGAAGCTTTGAGCCACTCATACCTGCTCAAACAAGTTTTCCTGTTTGCTTTCCATTTGCAAACAGAGGAAGACCATTAAATGGCTTTGTGAATCTTACTCACAGGAAACCAGCCCAGCACTGAGCATCTGGGAACTATTCTTCCTTCTCTAAACCACTTCCCTGGAAAGGTTTGACCACATTATTAATGCTCCAGAGCTTATATTTGCATTTATATTAAAGCTGCTCCTTCCCATCTTGATTCCCTGCTGCTTGTGGGTGTAGATGTTCTGGAAGATGGCACCCCTCTCTTTCTCAGCTCGACCACTTCTATTTTTTTTTTTTGCTGTGGGATGCTTGGCTGATGTCGCAGAGCTGGGAAGAGAGCCAGCAGCACGATGAGCTCAGCCTCCCTGGATTGCAGCTGCGCAGGAGAGAAATGCTGTCCAGCAGGTTGGAGGGCTGTGGGATGCAGCATCTTCGCTCCCAGTGTGGGAACCAGTCAGGTCGGAGGCCCAGTAGGAAAAGAAACTATGGGAGCTTCTCCCTCCTTCACCCCTCTTCTCTCTGTTGTGAGGCAGCGAAGCCTGGCTGTGAGCAAGCAACAGAGAGGTGGCACACGAAGTTCAGATAGCCACTGCCTGGATTTCTCAGCTGGGGTGAGGAGCTGGCATGCTCTAAGCATGACTGGTCTGTAATATATAGATGGTTGGGAGTGTGAGAACGCAGTTTTATCTTACCACCAGGCAATGAAGACATTCCTCTCAAAGGCCAGCTCATGTTCTTACACGACAAGCAGGAAGCACTGCCATTCTCTCCTGGAGCTCCAGCTCTGTGAGAAAGGTGAAAAAATCAAGTCTAGGACATACCAGATCTTTGCTGTTTCCAAGGATGGTTTATCTAGAACCACGCTTTTCTTCTTGCTTTTTCTCCCTCCTGCAAGGTAAAATTTAATTTAGTTGGGGATACCGTTGGCTGCAAAAGCAACTTTGATTTCAGCTGGCAAAACCCAGTCTGACAGTTGGCTTTACCTTCTCAAGCAAGCGCCACGCCTCTTGGCATATAGCCACAAGTATGGGGATTACTTGTGTTAGCCCTAATAGTCTTCCCTGCCAGTAATTAGAGCTCCCATCCAACTTTAAAATTCCAGGTATCTGGGTGTTGTTATCCTTGGGGAAGACTGCTTTGGAGTTCACTTTAAAGCTCCTTATTGACTTTGAAAGAGCAACTTCCCTATTTACTTATGTTTGCAAACAAACAAGCTGGGTTTTGTGCAAACAGAATGAACCAGCTTCCCTACCGTTCCTTTCTGCAGCAACAAAGGATGTTTTTGCTTTCCTTAAGGTGTAGAAAGTTGGCTGAACGACCACAGGAACAGGAGTGCGTAGGAGGAGCTCGGAGAGGAGATATGGGGGCTGAGAAGGACTTCTCCAAAGTCAAAGGAACAGCTGAGTGCTGAAGGTGAGGATAGGACACAAAGTAGCACCCCGAAGATTTGCCCCTTTCAAGTCATGCCATAGCAGAACAGGCTTTTCCACGCTTTGAATAGTCTCTATAACAGCTCCACACAGAACTACATGTATTAGAGCAGCTAATGCTCTCAGCAGCCAGCATGGAGTGCATCAGTTTTATAAAGATGTATGCTGCATACACATCATTTTCAACTATTTCTTTACACAGTCATTCTCTCCCCTCCTACACATCTCTCCATTTTAGGAGTAGAGACAAACTGAATAAGAGGGCAACCAGTCCTTGAACTGTTTTATTTACCACTTTTGGCTGCAAACAGTTGAACTGATCTTATTACAAGAAATCCCCTCCCATATGCTGTTAACACAGTTTCCACAACACATACTTTAGTATGTTCACTATTTCCCTGTTTGGACAAAGTACATCTGTGTGACCTTCCCTTCCACGCAGACACAACGGAAAGAACAGAACACAGGTGGTGCAGACTTAACGATGCACTGGGTGGATACCAAATTCCTTCCACTGCTAACATCTGAACCAAGCTACTTAGACTCAGGAGTTAGTTCTAACCAAGGGTTGGTATTATTAGTACTTGTCTCTTTTTTTGTCTAAAGGGAGAACGCTTCCCATTTGTTTAAGGAAGGGGTGGGAAGGGGCAGAGAAAGAGCTTCAAAAAGCGCGTTTACAGTAGTTTACCAAGGAAGATCATCTGGAACAACACTCCCATCTGCTGGGCCATCTACTTATTGCAGCAGGGAATTTAGCAGTATGAAGAAAAAAAAAAAAAACACCAACAAACTACACAAAAACCCCATCTCTTCAATCCAGCACCACAGCCTCTGTTTCAGATGATTAGATAGAGAGCTGACTTTTGGGTCACAAGCATTCTTGCCTACAGGAGCTGGCAGCATCCAGCAGCTGTGCCCTCCTAGGGCAGCTGTAACCTCAGAAGAAAAGCTTGGGCTGAAACATGAGAAAGAACTTTCTCCATTTCAGACATCTTTCTTGGAGAGGGGTGACTGAGCAGGCAGAGCAGGAGTCATCTCAGTTCCAACCTGCACTCTAAAAGCCTGAGCATGTAGGAGAGAAGATTAATACACATGTCAAGAGGAATCAGAGCAGGGACATTCACACAACTGAGTCATCCTAGTGACAGGAACGCCTGGATCAGAACAATGATCTGGTCTGTCTTCTTCAATCACAGCTACTCATAACAATCACTATCACAAAGGCAAAGACAGGCAGCACCTGTAACAACAATTGTTTAATCGTACAATACATACAAAACTTTTTACAATGTCAGAAAAACCTGACAGATGTTATAATGACAGAAACTGCAGGAGTACTAGGATTTCAGTCTTTTGAAGCATCCTTTCCTCTTAATGATTTACTTCTGCTGTCCAAAACATATCTCCATTGAGTTGGAGACTGGCAGCAGATGCCTTACTTACTGAAGAACAAGATTTGTTTTTGGATTAGTCCACCTTTCTATGTCAAGAACGCAAGACATGCTGGCTGAAGGGAGGTAATGATAAGGACAATGTATTGCAAAGACCAAAGAGAACCTCCATGGCCCCAGCAGTGAGTTCTGGACAGGTGCAGTTATTCTGCAAGTCTGATGCTAGTTTATTTGCTGACAAAGTGACAGATCTCCTACGTCCATTCTCAAACACACTGAGGAAGTGGCCAGTCCTGTCTTCCGAGCACTCAACTGCAGATGGACTGGAGCTGCAAGAGTTCCTTTCATGCTGTTTATGGGATTCCAAAGTATTCTCTCTCAAATTTACGGAAGTCTTCCTCAGTAAAGACAGTGCCCTCAGGCTTCTTCTTTTCCTTCTTCTCTACAGGCCGATCTTTTGACTTTCTGCCTCTGTTCTGTGTAAGAACCTTCAGGAAAAACAAAAAGAAAAATAACATTCACTGTCATCTAGACCAAATCACAAAACATTTTTTGAGCTCACTTGCCACACCCTTATTTGCTAGTACCCTGCTACATTCTGGAATGCTTCCAGAGAGGTGTGAGAGGCAAACATTATCTTACCCAAAGCAGGTCACTGGGACAGCAGCAAGCACCCAGGTAGTTTTCAGAGCCAAAAAAGGAAGCTACTTTCTGATAACTCTTATTGAGACTGCAATATTGATTTTAACTCAAACTTTTTCTGAAACTGTAGCCTTCTTTTGTCCTGTCTCTCCATGAGACAACTAGAAAACCCAAGAAATTGGTAGAATTCCCCTGGCATTTTTTAATGTCATCCTTGCCATTTACAACCTTAAACCTGAAAAACAGTGGCCGAAATAACTTAGTTTCTTTAAGTTAAAAGTGTTGTCATAAAAACAGCCTATGAATCTAGTGGTGTTGCTACCTTCAAATCCTGCTCAGAACTATTATTTGGGAAAGACCGTTGGTTAAATTTTGAAGTTATGAGAAACATAATTTCAGATGCTATGAAATTCCTACTGTGGGGGCCAGCAGCATGTCTGGTTCTCTACTAAAACAGCCTCTAGCTACAGAAGAGGAGAGTTCAAAGAACAGAAGGGAAGTCTGAACCAGGGCTTTGCTGTGAAATACCTTTAGTAACCAAGAGAAGTCAACAGTTGCCAGATTATAACGAGTAGCTGTAAGAAATAAGATTCTAACCAGATTCTAACGAGAACACTGTAAGAAATAAGCTATCAACAAAAATTTAAAGCTTAGTAAGGTGTTTTGCTTGAGCACAAAGAAACGCTTCAAGGCCACTACCAGGCAGAAATGTAACTCTTTTGCACAAGGACTAAGCTGGAAGATCTAAAGATAATTCCCATTCATCTATGCTCCTCAGAGGAAGAAAGAAGTGTCATCCTTACTTGCTGGGTTACAGCTCTGTCAGCAACGCATCGTCCGCTTGTCATGTACTGCAAATTCGCTTTGAGGTGATTTACAGCTTTCTTCTTGTGATACTCCTCTAGGTCAGAGCACAGTGAGACAAAACACATCACCTGATTGCCCAGGCAGTACCTGAAAGCTGCTACAAGGAGGATGGGGAGGGATAGCCACAGGTGATCCTGACAGAGGCGGCAGGATACCATGAAAGGACCTGGCCCGAGAGTGTAGAGAGCAATAAGGCCACTTTTCGCTAGAGCTAAGCCAAGACTCACCTATCGCCGACTTCACGACTCTGCCCTTGATCGTAGCCTTGTTCTTCCCAGGCCCCGCCATTACCTTCCTCCGCCGGGCTGCTCCTGCCGGTCTGCCTCCATCTCGCCCCTGCTGGAGTCCCGGCGGGGCCTTCCCCCGGCCTGAAAGACGAGATGAAGAAGGTTACCAGGGCCACACACTGAGACAATCCCCTCCTTCCCCGCCTCCGGCCCCTCGGGCCTACCTGGTGCCTCCAGTAGCTCCAGACCCCGCCGTAGCAACGAAGCAGACATGGCCACACACCCCCGCCTTTCACTCACTTCCGGCTTACCCAATGCACTTCCGCCCTCTCCTGAGACCACTTCCGCCCTTTGAACAGCCATACTGCCGTCTTTCCCCCGGCTGGGTGCGCATGCGTGAGGGAAGCTGGGAGAGGATTTAGGCGGGAAGGAAGGAGCGTGGAGCAGTATTGAGGCTCCGTGCTTTGTGGAGGCTGCCTTGGGCCAGCCCTGAGCTGGCTTTGTGTACAGATGCAACGCTGATGCCTGGCTTTCCTCTCTCCTGCCAGGTCTGCAGGCCCTCTGTAGTGTACCCTTACTGAATTAATGCATAGGGAACAGGCTTTTTGAGGCCCTGCTGTGGTGGTGATCACAGGGGAGGCAATAATTACCGGCTGAGAGGAAGGGGAGCATCCAGCAGCACTGTCACATTTTGTCTCTGCAAGGCCCCCCAAAGCGGGTTTAACTGTGCCCAGCTCCTGAGGTGCAGAGTTTTGCTCCGCCATTAATTGCATCTATTATTCAGTATTACTTTAGCGTGTTTATTTAAAGCTTTCCTCCCCCACTTTTGCCTCTCCAGAGACTTGCTGCTAATGTCTGCTAAATTTAGCTATCATCTGAATAAAGCTTATTCAATTATAGCCAACGCTGGCAGTAACAAGCTGGTGCTGGAGGAGGAGAGAGGTTCATTCTCCCTCAGATAGAGTCCCATAGGGAGAGAGCGGTAAAAGCAGCGCTTGTTGTTTCATATGGCAATGATCTCTAGTGGTGGCTGACAGCAGTTAATCTGTGGCTCATTAACAGGCATCCATTCTCTGCAGGTTGCTCTCCAGTCCCTGCAGATGTCACCTCAGTGCCAATCTTCTCATTCTTAGTTCTCTTTGGAGTCTTGCTGGATGGTTCCTGGCATCCTGTGTCAGTATTTGTCATTGTGATCGTGCAAATGCATCTTTCTGGACAAGACAGGCTCAGTGCTCATTCTTGGGAAATATTAACTGTTTACTTCCTGTTCAGGGTGTCACTTCTCACTTGTGATTTTCCTCTTAAAGAAGTCCAAACCACTTTTTTTTGGCTAATTTGGGTGGGCAGTGGCTGGGTGTGTAGCCTGGTGTGGCTCTGGGCATCCTGGTATAATGGTTGATGACCCTGCACATAGCAGGGGGGTTGAAACTAGATGATCATCGTGGTCCTTCACAATCCAGGCCATTTTATGATTCTATGAATATTTCTCCATTTTCTTGTCTTCTGCTAAACTAGCAAAAATTGAGGCTGCTCAGCTCCTTGTTCTGTGCCGGATTTGTCCCTGCAGTCATGTGAGTTAGCATATTTGTGAGGATGATACTGTGTTATTGAAAAGCAGACACCGAACAAGAAGTGATTTAATAGCCTGTTGCTGAAATAAAAGTGAGCATTCTAGCCTCTGACATGTTTGTCCTTACTTGAACATAGTTCAGCATATATTTTGGTCAGATAAAGGATAGCTGCCAGTGATATGACTGTGGGGAAAGCATTTCCAATTATACCTTATCTGTCAAACATTCTCCTTTAGCCCCTAAAATAGAATTACAGGTTCTTTGTAAGCTGTTCATACACATGTATCACACAGGATAGCTTTTTCTACTAGTTAAACATGGCATTTACATCAATTAACTTTATCAGGCTCACCTGATCACATCATCACATGTGTTTAGTGTCAAAGCAGTGTAACCTTATAAATGTCTTATGAGGCCTCCTGATGCAAAAACATAATTGCCTGCACTGCTAAACATGTTTTGATTTAACAAATTAATGCGTTACAAGCTGCACTGATTTATTGTCTCATTGGAAAACATATGCCCTTTTCTATCTCAAAAGTAAGCCTCTGCAAACAGTATTGCATTTCTATTTCTGTTGCACCAATTAATAACGCTGTCAATTATGTAGGTCTCTGAGAAAATCTGAGTCCCTTCTTATTAAATATCTTCAGTATGAAGAAACCTTAATACAGGCAATGCCTCCTTTGACCAGCAAGGCTGAGTGCAAACCTGCTATGATTTTAGTCTGCAATTACCTGCAGGATAAAATTTAATGAGCGCATGGGGTCACTTTGCTGAAGAGGGAAGGCAAGATATTTTCTTCAAGTGCATTCACAGTCTCCTGCATTGGAGTCTGCTCAGGTTCTTGGAGCTAGTTAGAGCCCTAAGAAGTTAAATAGGCGCATGCTTTTTGGTGAAATGCATTCCCCAGGTTTAGATCTGTTGCTGCCCCAGAACTGCACAAAGATCACCATCCGACATGAGCCATGGATTTTTTAACGCTTTGTGGAACCACATAGCTATTATTAATACATTCTATTTCTTCCACTTCTTTTAACAGGATCTGGCAGCCTTTCTCAGGGGATGATCATTAGTGTTTCTCCTAACTGCATTCTGGCTTCAGCTACGCTTGGTCTTGGCAGACATGGTGCTAACAGCATTTGTCATGTCTCTGGGTGACTTTGGTACAGCTAATACTGCCATACTCCTGCAGATATAGTTGCACATTCTTCCCGTATTCTTTGACTTCAATGGAAAATTATATTTACAATTCTTTTTTCCTGAAATGCTAAACAAGATCAGTTTATTGTCTTGTATTTTACCTGTGTATTGTATGTTCCTTTAAACCTTCACTGATGTAGAATTTAGGCATTTGGATCACATGATCTCATCTCCCACATATCATAAACCATAAAATTTCCTCTGTTGACTTTAGATTAAGTCCACTAACCTGTGTTTGAGCAATCTGCTTTGTGCTGAGCACAGCATATAATACGCTGTATTTTTCTTTGCAGGAGCTTTGCTGGGTTTATCACTCTCACAGTGAGGATGCATTCCTTTCTTCATCACGGTATATACACTTAACTCTCACTTTCTTTTACCTGAATCACCTTTGAGAGCAGATGAGAAGCCCCATAAAATAACTTTTTTTCCTGACTGGTGCATACTTTTAAAAATTTAGTGCCAGGAGATTTTGTGGCTACGTCAGTAATAAGTAAATAAATAAATAAGGAACTAAGTATTTTATTGTACTCTTTAAAGGCTCTGCTCAAATTAAAATTTCATCCGAGAAAACTTCATCACTTTGTAATCTCTCAGAAATCAGTGCAGTTAGCTCTTTGGAACACTTTGGGGACAGAATGAATGTCAAATGGTATTCATTTAAATGTATAACATCCAAATAAATCGCTGTCTTAGAGCCTGAATAATCTAACTTGTGATGGCAAAAACTACAGGCGCTGCCTTTCAGATGGAGAATGTCCTTGCTTCTGAGAGTTAAGCTGTCTTCGAAAGCTTTCTGCTGCTAATGTTCATGTTTTATAGCTTTCTCTAAATTTCATGCCTCAGTGATTACCTGTGAGCTAGCTGGCTTTTCAATTACAAATAACTCAGCATACAGATCAGCTGAAGTTTTAAGTGACTTCCTTGTGTGGCCATTAGAATTTTACTTTCTGCTTTATTTCTTATGACATTGAAAATGGAAAATTTCCCTGTTGGAATAAGTTGATAAAGTTTCTGCTTCGTCTTGGAGAGACTGTTCTTCTCCCTGTTATTCTGGGCTTTGGAAGATGTTTGAGATTATCATACATTTGGTCTGTGCCATCTTGTTATTCTGGTTAATATGATAATAAAATCACATTGCTGTCTGTAGCAGTTCTTAACAGCAGTTTGTGTGTGCTCTTTTTTATGTTCTAGCTCCTGGATTTGTGGGGTTACACAGGAGTCTCAGTTTGAAGGGATATTCTGAAGAAAGTTAGAAAACAGAAGCTGAGAGCTGCAATACAAGTAAGATGCAACAATCACAAGGATTTATTTAGTTTAGGACTGTTTTGAACATTCTTATAGTGTTGGGAAATGGGATCTTGATGTTTAAACACTGCATATTGTTTGTACTGACACACAGACCTGCATTTCTTTTTTCTTTCAAAATGAAACAGACTGATTTTCAGGTTGATTGATAACAGATTTTCACCTTTGCATGCTCCTTCACATGTGGGTCACGTAATGTGCTTTGCTTTAGACAGATATCCAGCTTCACCACATCCAGTGTTCTGTATTTTCTCTCCACAGCAATACATGATGATGCCTTCATCAAAGCTACTGTCATTACTACTTATCTGTGTTTGCTAACCTCTGTTATGGTTTCTGTTGTGGTCATTGTTTCTACAAAGACCCACGGATCACTGCTTGCCCTGTACTTCAAGTACACAGGAATCTTTGTCCTTTAACTGTGTGACATGCCTTTGAAAAGTGATTTGACTTTCTGGCCTGCTGAGTTTGAACAAGTGCTGGACAATGCCTTGATTCATATCCCTGCGTGGGTAAGCTTGTAGTTACTGCAGATGGAAAGAAAGCCTTTTTTTCTGATTTTTTATTATTTTGTCTTAACACAGTGTATATACCTGCCTCTTCAGTGCACTTTTCCAGGTCACTGAGAAGCCATCTCTGCATTACATAGCTTCTGCAAACAATATTGGCTCAAGCTGGGACTAAATCAGCTTCCCACTGGACTAGATGCCATAGTATGAAATGAGCTCTGCCTCCAAACAAGGCAGAGTTGTTATCCTTCCTATATAGATGAGATAAGAAGGCATAAAGATTAAGCAATTCAGAAAATATCTGAGACAGGACGTGTTCATGCTAGCTCTGAATGACAATGTGGGACCTTACCCTTTTTTCTCCCTCTTCTGCTTTTTACTCCAAATGGAAAGATACTGCCTTTGCTGAAGCTCTAAGAGCTGACTTTGTAGGCAGAAGTAATATTTTTAAGAACACAAATGTTGAATTTGGAAAAAAACACATAAATCCTTAGGGCCTTGATTGCCAGAAGAAAACATTTTAATAATAAATCTTGCATGCCAGTGAAGAGTTGGTGTCACAAAGTCCTTTTGTAGTCAGAAAAAACAGAATTTTGCATCCAGAATCACAAAAATTACAAACTTCCAGTACTCTCATACTCCCTACGTAAAGGCAAAAATCTCATCTGAGGGACACGTGCTGCTGTTGCACACCTTCTAGAGTGGAGCAGGCAAACAGGTCTGCAGCTGGAGGGGGACAATTTCCCTCTCTCCGCTGCTATCCTCAATATCAACAAAGGGAAGAAGTAGAAGAAGGATCCTGAACTTCTGTGTCACATTTGGCTTTCAGCTTAACTCTTTATTTCTCCCTTGTGTTGTTTGATTTGCCCTTCCTATCTTTCTCTTCTGCTTCATTCAGAACCACAGATTTTTCATGCCAGCATCTGTGAAATTTGCCCCCAAAACACTTCACTGTGGAGGACAGAGCAAATGGATAGAAACTGAAAAAGGGATTTTGAATCAAAATATGGAGTGTAACACAGATTCTTTAACTAAAGAGATTTGTAAAAAGGCTGTAGCTCTTAATTTAGTGAATATTGTAGCCTTTGGTAACACAAAGTCTAGTTTCCTCTGGGAAGGATGCATTTTATCCACAATTACAATGGAAATAATGATCTCTCATGTAAAGAGTGTGAGATCTGAGCATTCTTAAGCACCCTCATGCTGTGCAGATACGAAACTGGGGTCTGTCAGTCATTGTTGAATGTGGCAGCTTTCAGAGCAGTGACAAAGAGGTGGAAGGCTCTGTGTTTTGTTCCCAGACTCTCTGCTCCAGGGCCATAAAATGTTTACAAGCCCCAGAGCTGGCTCTGGATGCAGTGAAGTTTAGCTAGTTATGCTTGTCACCTACCGTTAAGGGTTTGGAGGCAGACAGGAGATGGGCTGGAGCTGTCACAGGCTTATGCTGCCTTAGGCAGGCCTTGTTAGCTTGATGCTTGATGTAGAATGGGGCTGTTAGAGCATTGCTGGCTGCTGCGGTTTCTGTCTGCTCCATCCTCTGCTGGAGCCCATCTGATCTCCCCATACTGGTTCACTGGCTGAATGATTGTCATGCCCCCTCCTGTTCCCCAGTGTCCCTTCAGACTTGGGAGGGACCATTTGGTAACAGCAGGAAAGAAAAGCTCCCTGTTGTCATTGATGTGGCAATGGACAGCAAGGCAGCATTGTGAATTCAGCTGTGAGCAGCAGGGCAGCTGGCTGCTTGTTGCCACAATGCACACTTTGTGGCTTCTTAGCCCAGGATTTTTGTTTGTTTGTTTGTTTTTCCCATCAGAATTGTTCAAAACCACACAGAACTGTATGTGAGGCTTGTACAGAGCAAGATGATCAGTCCCATGGCTGTGTTTATCAGCACGGTGCCAGGCCCCTTTCTGCCTTCACCCCGCTTTTGTCATTTTTCCTCCTCCATTTTTCCTTCCTTTCCTTCCTTTGCTCTCTCTCTAATAGCTTATTTAGTCGTTCCTGGTGTTAATCCCTGTCTCCTTGACTTCTCTTGCTATCTCTTACCCTCCCCAGCCAGGATCAGCACTTTCTGAGTCTGTGCGAAAGTGACAGTTCAACCTGACCTTTTATCATTTGTTTGTGACTCTTTGCTCTGGAGTCCCTCTAAATAACCTGCTGGCTCTCTCTTCCTTTCCCTCACTCCTTTCTTTCCCTCACCATCCAGCTCTCTTTCACTGAGTGTCACTGTCTTGCAATGGGTGGAACTGCATCCCCAGGAAGGTCCTGGCACCCACAAAACCCTTACTCAATTGGGGTGCAGGGGCAACCCTGGAAGTGCTGGTTACTGGGCACCCTTCATCTCACCACACCATATCCTTTAGGTTGGGCCGCCTTCTCCTCCAGGGCCACATCTGCTTTGCCCTGCCTTATGTCTGGGGGGGGGAGGAGGGACAAAGCAGGGGGAGAGGTGAGCAGACAGGCCAGGCTGCAGTTTGTAAGGCTGGTCCATGGTGCCACGAGGTCTCTCCTCACTAGATGTCACTGTGAGGCTGGGTTTTAGCTGCCTCAGGTGAGATAGGTGCTGAGGTGGGTGCTGAGCTCTAGGAAGGCCCTGCCAGGAACAGGACAAGGGCATAGAAGAAGTTCACAGGGCAAACGCTGTGTTGCTGTTGATTTTCCCCAACCTTGGCAAGATGCAAGAGGGCTTTTTGAAGCACAGCTCCATAATAACTCCTTTGAATGCCCCAGCCTGTACCTGTGTGTGAATCAATGTGAATCAGCCACCGTGACTTTCTCATCTCCTGCTGGTCGTGATATAGGTTTGGCAGCAAGTCCCTAGCTCACACTCAGCCCTGGATCACTGTTCACCGTCTCCATCTGCTGCCAGCCCTCCCTATGCACTTTGTAAGTCCTCCTCCCTGCCCTGGCTACAGCACAATTCCCTGCAGCAAATGGCTGTGCCCAGGCCGAACTGCAAGGAGAGGATATGGCACATGCTTTTATATCTTCTTTTATTTTTTTCTTTTTTCCTCTTTTCATTTTTTTAATTCTTTCTTTCCTTCCTTTTCTCTTGTTTGCCTTTTGTTGCCTTTTTTCTTCTCTTCTTGACTGCTCTCTCTTTGAACTCTTGCTTCTCCAACCGGGATCAATGATTTCTGGGTGGAAGAAAGCTCAGCCTGAGCTTATATGTCTTGTTCTTGACTGCCAGCACCTGAGTTCCTCTACATTATGAGGCCAACTCTTTTGTTGTTGTTGTTGTTGTCTTTCTCTCTACTTTTCTCTTACTCCTTTCCTTCTCCCCCTGGACTCAGCAAAATGTTAGAGTGGAAATACCAACCCTGCCCTTTCCTGCCTAGCATGGTTTAACCTCTCTGTCCCTGTTCCTCTACTATTTGTTGCTTTCCTTAATCTTTGTGTTGAGAACTGGACTTCGCAATGATATCTCTCTTCTCTTGCTATTGTAGGGGAAAGGAATCGGCTGATAAATGCCCCATGAACTGTGCTGTCAAATGGTCTTTAAGAAAATGGTAAGTTTGTTATTTTTAAGTGAATCATCTAAAAGCCAGGAGCATGGGAATGAGTGTTACTTGGAAAACAATCAGTGCCAGCAGAGCATTTTGGTTTGGTCCTGCACAGGAGTACAGCCTCCTGTAGGCACACCTACATTCTCCTAGGGACTCTGTGACTTTGATAGCTGTAATATCAGACTGCATGTATCTGTTTGCACATCCCTATGAATTTCTACCTCTATACATATGTATGGAAATCATGCTCTGATTGCACAGTGCATGAGTTCCCAACCTTGCATCCTCACTGACAGTTTACAGGCAGTTCACTGCAAGGTATTGGACTTGATGATCCTTATGAGTCCCTTCCAACTCAGAAAATTCTATATTCTATGGCTCTGTGCATAGGATTTGGATAGCTATAGGCAAATATGTGCATTTTTGTGTAACTGGGGTGTATACATTTACATAGACACATGAATCAGTGGTGTAGAGAATGTGGAAGAGATTGGTTACAAACTCTCAGAATATACAATCCATTTGGTATGAGCTACGGGGACTTACTTTTAATATCCCAGCACTGCCTTCTTACTTCTCCTAGCTCCATGGGTGCCACAAGCTTGTTGGGGCTTTGCTCTTCAAATGAACCCAAGTCCCCACAGCTTACATGTCTTGGATCCTTTGTCCCTCCCAGGCTCCTTCTAGTGGTTTTGCACCATACAGGGCCAGTTCAGCAGATGCTTTTTTGTACTCCAACCAACACTATTCAGCACTTTCCTGTTGGTGTTTCGGGTTTTGCTTCC